CAGTCTAGGGAAATGATGACTATAATGAGATGTTACACAGTCTACATTTTGACTGCATTGCAGGATCAAAGATGAGGCTGTGGAAACAAAGATCTTTTACTGAAACACGTAAGTTGTGTCCTATTTGCGCTTGTGTATAACTTCCAGGATTAGTAAAAAGAGATGAGCGTATGCTACAAAAAGCTAAATATCACACAGTATTTTTATGTTGCATATTCCCATTTGGTCTATGATATTTAATTGGAAAATATCTTGTGTATTTTCAGTGTAAATATAGGCATAAAATACGTACAGGTCCATAGTGATCCACAAGACATTGCCAATGACTACAAGACATCCTATTACACTACAGCCTAAAGTAGTGCCATATTTATTACCACATGGGTATTTAGAAGCATACAGTAGAGTGAACAGTAAATCTGATATCATTTGAACATCAGATAGGAAGAAATAATTAGTTGATAAAATATGATCAACCCTGCCTGGTGATAAAATGTATGGTTCAGATGTATTCCACAGGGTCTCTTGAAAATCCTGTTCCAACCAAATTAAAATTCAGTGTGTTGCAACAGTTACAAGCACTACCCACAGGTGCTTGTATGTGAGGGAGGGCAACGTGCAGGAGTGACACTTTTTTCATAGCTGTACAGTCAGACTGGCTATTTCTGCTTTCTATTGTATCTTGCAATCAACGTGTGTTTTGATAAAGTGCATGTCATCCTTGCTGAGGAGAAATCATTAGCCTGAAAAAGATTGCCAAATACAATGATGTGTTATATGGGTTATGGCCAAATTTCTTAAAACAGTAAGAGATTTATAAGTTTGCCAAATCTCATTTAGCAGTCACATGTCACTGAGAATATGGTTTTCAGGCTACCTGTGTAAAACTGCAAGCTTAATCTCCACCCCTAAATTTACCTGTAGTCTTGGTCTCTTATATTTGTCTGTAACTGTAACACCATTCCACCAAAAACCTAGCATGGCCTCTTCCAGGAGTAGTTATTGGATTCCCACTAGTGATGGCAGTCCCAGCATGTTTCCGAGTAGTTCCTGACCCCAATGACTCATATATGTCCTGTTCTATTAATAAAGAGAAATATTAAAGCAGCAGATAGATATCATTACTGTACATGAGTTTTTAACTTTCACAGTACATGTTCTTACATCAATAGCCAGTTAAATCACTGAACTGAAAAGAATGTGGGCAGCAGAAATCTTTTTACAGGCAAGTGAGTCGACTGAACTAGTAGGAAACAGTGAAATGCCACTGAAAATGAATGATAAAACATTCCCACATCAGATACAGCTAATACATTGGCTAGATATTTGCCATTTGAGGTCCCAAGTGATAACAGAACTCTGTTAAGACAAATGCACGGTTTTGCTGATGTGCACATTGCAATACTGAATTTCTTTGCACAATCACACCTGTGTTGTTAATTTTTTAGTGAGAACAGGGACATACAAATGGAAGCATACTAGTAATTAAATGGATCTGTCAGCATGCTACATGGTAAAAAAACCCCGTTTTCTCCTTTGCTGCCTTGGAAGCCACTATTTATGTGTTCATATTTAAAAACTGCTTCTGTGTATCTGTTTGCAATATCCATGTTTGATGAACACAATGAGACTTAATTTACATGCTAATGCAACAAAACAGATGTAGAATAGATCAACTCACCTGCTAACAAATGCATTATTTGGGCCACACTAGTACTGATTGAATGACAGGTAGCTTTAATCCCCTGATAGTGGTTTGCAGAGCTGCTCAAGATTTGATCTCCCTACAAATATCTCCCATCCAGTGCTCAGGTGATATGTCACTGTTTCCTATAAATTACTGCTGAGTTATTTTTTTTTTTAATTTCATCTCTCATCCTTTTGTATATTAAAAACTGATTATTTTTTCAGGATCAAAAGGTATTTTTTTCATGGCAGTAGATTTAAGCATTAGCCCATTAACCATTGATACAATAGATTTATTATTTAACAAATACAGAACACATCATCTGCCTTTACTAGTGCAAGAAGGTAGCATGGATTTTTTGCAAACACTTTTGTCTCGAGATATTTCGGGAGCACTCAGGAGGATCTGCTTTAGTCAAGCCTGTATCAGGCTATCACCTGTTACGCTGCACTCATGGATCAGCAGCAGAGAATTTCCTAATAGCAAATGGTATTGAAAATGCATACTGATGGCTAATTTGCTAAAAGCTTACTTAAGGACTCATAAGCAAGCCATCACTAGCATTGGTCTTTTTATAAACACTTGGTTTCAGGGTACTGAAGTATAACGTGTTGCCTGAAAATACCGAGAGATCATTTGTACACACAAGTGTCATGAGTTGACAAGTTTGTCCTGCCCTCCGTCCTAAAACATCAACAGCTCCAAGCCATAATGTAAGAGTCAATGTAAAAGGGTAGAGGGTGAAATCCTGTTGCTTTCAGAAGACGGGGATGCTTCTTGTCAGCACGAGTGTACCATATTTGTGTTTAGCTTTACTCTGTGCTTTTAAGATGCGTTCATATTTTGTTATCTCACAATTAGATTTATTAGTCACACACAACAATAGGAACTGATTCAGAACCCTGTTATCCTATTTGTCCAGACCATTGTTTGACCATTATTTTCTCTCAGACAGATATTGGCAGTACATTACATAAATAATAGTGGAAATGTACCAAACATACATATTGACCATCTCTGTCCTCATTCTCTTGCATTCAGTATAGTATCCCCGATCATGAAAAAAAAAAAAAGCACGAAAGAACGGAGTTCAGCCTGAGCCTGCAGAGAACAGCGAGAACGTTCCTGCTACTACCTTGATTTCTATCATTTTCCTAGCTGTTAAAAGTTTCTGCTTTTCAGAGAGTATCCTGTATTCTAAGCTATCTAAGAAATCTCCCATTCTCCTTCATTAGAACCTGGTGATTCTCATTTGTCTCGAGGGTAAGGGCCACAGGTTTATGCATGCTTCTGTTCTAGAGCACTGTTGAAAACCTGAAGTTGGTTCTGAAGTCAAAATATCACCTAAGTTGAACAATTTATCTTCTTTTTAGCTAAGACCAACACATCCTGACTGTCCATCACATGATGGAGGAAGCTATTTTCTGCATTGGACTCCACCTGCCTTACTATTAAGAAAAGATATCCTCCTTATATTGCTGGCCAATCTTCCTGAATTCACACTTCCCTCCTGGCTCTATTGCTTCTCTCGTGCTGAGAACTTTGAAGCAGATCCCCCTTTGTGCATTGATCAAAAAGATGAAGAGAAACAACCTTTCCACTACAAGACTTTAGTCAGTTAAATATACAGAAAATCCAATACAGCACTCCATATCCATATATTTCTAGGGTATTATTTTACATGAGGGAAGCATGGGACAGAAAATAAACCAGCCAGGAAGAGAGACAGAGCAAAACAAAGAAATAAGTCAGGGCAAAAATACAGCAGTTTAATGTAGGAATACTGCTGAGGTAAGGCACACTTTGTCAAAGTTGAGGTTACAGTACTGTGCTCTCAGTTTTTCCTTAGTAAAAAAAATCACTGATGTTTCTGAAACATAAAATATAAACATTAAGCACACCTGGAATTCTTCACTGTTTAGCTGAGAAAGGCATTCATACTGTAGAAGTTCCAGCTTAACTGCTTCGGTAGTTGCTCCCTCCTTCTGGACACCAGATAATTTCATTATTCATTTGCATGAAATCTAACTCCTCAGGACCTGTCACTCATACCAGGATACACGTTTCCCCACTTCAAAATTGTGGAAGAAACATGGGAAGGGAAATAGCAGGGACGAGTAGCAGGTATACTAACTTTTTTCATATTTCTTTAATAGTTGTTGTATGGAAGGTCATATTGAACTTTTGGCTTAAAATGATAGCTTGATGAAATAATGGTATGTGTGTGCTTGCTGCTGTCTTTTAATAGAAGCTTTTTGAAGCACATGGACAACATTAATGGAAATAAGCAGAAGAAAGAAATGCCAGTATCTCTGTCCAATTCTAGTTCTATACTCCTTGTGTTTCAAGTGGATGGAGAATCTAAACCCCACAAGTGCAATGCTTGCAAACACAGTCATAGACTTTATTATGGGGAACAGGAACATGAGTACAGAGGCTATTTTTTTAAGTGATGGGGCTGGCAGGGTGAAGGAAGCACTGAAAAATGTACAGCTAAAGAGACAGTAAAACAAACAAAAAACCACCACCACCAAAAAACCCCCACCAAAACCAAACCTTTAAGGAGCATTCTATTAAGTTGATAGTCCATACCTAACTTTGTTGAGTTTATATAGCTTTTGGAGTAATTTTTCTAAGATAATCCTGGATTAAACAAATATTTAAACATTTTACCTATCATGAGAACAATAAAATATACAGAAGATACTCGAACAGAAGCTAGAGTGGCAGGCTTACTGAAAAATAAACTAGCAAAGGGAAAAATAACCCAGTCAAAGTCCAATTCTGCCATCAGTGTCCCCGTTATATGATGCAATTACACAGAAATAAAGGTGTGACTATACTTGAGCTAGCTCTTTTGTAATTGCTTGGGTAATAATAGTACTCAAGATACAGTGCTGTGATTTCATAGAATCATAGAATCATTAAGGTTGGAAGAGACCTCCAAGATCATCGAGTCCAACCGTCAACCCAACACCACCATGCCCACTAAACCATGTCCCTAAGCGCCTCATCTACACGTCTTTTAAATACTTCCAGGGATGACGACTCAACCATTTGGCACAGACTAACCACACGTTTACATAAAGTGAGGCCTCCCAAACACCCCAAATACAGCGAGCAGAGTTCAAGTGATAAACAAAACACCCATACACTTTTGGGGGATGAGGAACATAAACAGCCTTTTAATCTACTAAAATTAACAGCGCTATTTTTCCATCACAGAGATGTGTTTCAAAGACCAAAGGCCTCCATAATTGTTTTAAAAACAAAAGAAAACAAGAGGAGAAATAGAAGAAATGGGTACAAAATAGAGAGGAAAGGCTGAAATGAATTTTATTTCACAACACAAAAGAATTAAGAAGAGGAAAGTGTACTGAAATAAAGAAAAGCACTGAAGGAAAATAAGGAAAACCAACACTTTAATGTACTGTAATTTCTTATTCCACTATTACCTTTTTCCATGACATTTTATTGATGGTGTTTCATGGGTCATCAATAAAGTAACACTATAAAAAGCCCCAGAATCTTATTTCCTTCTGGTGTTTGTGCTAGATTGACAGTAACTTGTCCATGACAAAGGAGCAACCAGTTCAGCTTGAAGACCTGATGCAAGAGCAAGGGGGAGGGGGGGGGATAATTAAAAAAAAAAAAATCAATAATAATGTGTTAAACTTTGAAAGGAACACCAAGTGAAACAAATGAATAAATAATTAGTTTAGGGGTAACAGTATTTTCAAAGCAAATGGACTACTTCTGTTACCAAGAAGATAGGGCATTTGACAGCTAGTAAGAGAGCAAGGCATTCAGCTTCCAAACCATAAAAGGTGAGAGTTAATATTACACTAATGAGCCACAAGCATACTGCTGGCTTGTTTTTTATTAACACTAATAAATGAGCTCATAATACTGATCAGAAGTGTTTTTCTTTTCTCCACACATCTCACAAAAGAATTTCAGGTGACAAGTACTATGATACATATGGTAGAAACAAACAGCTGTGGCCACAAAGATGTTTTGTTAACTGATGATTAATATATTCAGGAAGCAATCACACTATTCATTAGTAAAAGTTTACAAACATTAAAAAGTGCATAACATTTGAAACCAACAACAACACAAAAATATATATAATATATATACTATATATAAAGAAAGTGACATCACCTCCTGTTAATAAAAGAAAACAAATCTGCTGACTTTGTGATTGGTGCTTATGTGATTGCCATGGTTTACTAGTCAGTCACTCTCTTTACTCACCTTAGTCACACAGAGGTGTGGCTGCCCCATTTTGCAGTATTCAACCTCATGTATGGCCTTGTCTATTGGGGCGGGATGGGGGGGAAGGAAATCAATCAGCATAGCTACTGCGGAATAGGTTATTCATTTGTAGATATTTTAAGAAATCCTCTGGATGGACAAGCTATCCTGGTATTTCAATGAAGGTCCAGTTTGGACTGTCTTTTTGGAATAGCTGAAGTGGGAAAAATACAGTCTTTTGGGTGCTAGATGCCAAGTCTCTCACTTCCCTCTCCACATCCTAGCTAAAAGGCTGCTGTAGCAGCTTCTAGCACTTGGCTGTACCTGGTGCATCAGTAACAGGCTACTGGCTGCGCAAACTCAACGGCCTGATCAACTGAGGCAAAGGCAAGGAATAGAAAAAAAATAGTCCCCCTGGCTGGATCCAGCCCACGATCCACTAGTTGGACTATCCTGCAATCTAAAACTCATTTCAGAATACATAATTGGCAGTAACCTATGCCAGTTATTCTCCTGTGTGTAAACAAAGGCCCATCTTTAACAATGTGAACCAGGAAAATCTCTAGCACCACGGAATTTGTTTGAATTTTAAACCATATAAGGTTATAAATGTATTTTTAAAACTACCATAACAATAAAATTCCTGGACTAACATTTTAAAAAAATATCTCGGAGAAAAATTAAGAAATTGGGAGTAAAATTAGAAAAATGGGGAAGAATAACATAAAAGATTCAATTTGAGTCTCTGATATGCAACTAACTACAGGCAAGTGGCAAAACTGTACCAAGGACACAAAACACGCTGAAGTATTCACATTAACAAATCATTTTGAAGGCTCATCTAGTAACAAATTAGAGTGTTGCTGAGTCATTTAGGTTTAGGCATAATCAATTTAGCGGTTGACGTTTTAAATCTATCATGTGCACACCACATTATGCAAAAAAACAGCCCTTTCAAAACGCGTGGTAGAAAAATTCACAGTAACAGAAATATTCTTCATAAGCAGTTGAGAAGGGGCAGTGTGGAGCATCTAAGTCGTACAATACAAAAACCATTGTAAATAACAGAGCTGTAAAACAGATGCAAAGTTCTAAAAACAGTGCTTTCTTTACAGTTCTTTTAATGGGCGAACACTTTGGCCAGAGAATTTTAAACTCTGAGGATCACACAAGCCTTTTCTTAAGATACAGAATTAGATCCTCTGATGTTTCAAAGGCCATTTGCTACAAGATTTACCTGTTCTACTTTCTAAAAGTGTTCCCATCAAGTAGTCATTATGAAGGGATCCATCTGATGACACTATCCCAAAAAATCAATACATGTTCAACCATTGCTAATGACAGAGGTAGAGAAAATTCTGTCTTCTGCCACAGCTTGTACCCCCATTTTTAGCATTGTGTTGAGTGGGTTCCAGCAGTGAAGACACATGCACTTTCTTTGCCACCAGCTTGCTCATGGAAACAAATTTGTTCCGGCATGCTCTTGTAGTCTGAAAACATCCAGCAGCTGCTCCAGTCGGTCAAAGTTGGATGTCAGCTTTCTTGCTTTGCTGCCTCCCCTTGGGCCTCCCCAGTTTGCTCACTTGGATTTCGTTGTGCATCTCCTTCTCCTTCTATAACATAAAGAAAAGGATGAGTGATCCACCCTAAAACAAAGAGGTCTTGCTCACAGAACCCCAACTGTTCATCCACCAGTCTCAAAAACAAAGTAAAAAGAAATTGAAACTGAAATCTTGCATTAAATAGGAAACCTTTTACTACTAAGGTAGCCATACTTTGCATCTCAAGAGACACCTTCGAAAACAAATTCCTAGCTGCAACCACCACTATCATTTTAAGTACAGACCTAAAGTAGCTAGAAATGAAAGAATTTAACAAAAATAGTAGGGTATTTTTGACAATTTATTCACTGGGATACTATGACAATATAAGACAAAAACACCTCATTACACCAAGTCTGAGCAGAGTTTACTATAAAGAGAGGCAACTTCAATAAAAGCAATAGTTTGTTAAAGCTGTGTTCCTTCTGTGTGTCCATTTTCAGTACCATGCCCCACGGCGTTCAGTCCAGCTGTCTCACTGCAAACCACAGAACAGTCTGAGGAACAAAAAACATCTTACAGTGGCACGGTGAGCAGACAACTCATAAAGCCTGTCTAAAGAAGGCCAAGTAGTGCATTGACAATGGTCTATTAGTACCTATATGCAAAGCATTGTATTTCACCTAACGATTTAAGACCTAACAGGTTCAGACAGCTGGAAGCTAAGTGCAAGTAAGACAGAAGTCCCTGAACACTGGGCTAATTAGCTATAGGTACACAGTAAGGAATAACGTTAGGTAAGGAATAATGTTAAGACATAAGTTGTCTCTTGTATCTTGCAAGGATTCTGAATAATTTGTAGTGAACTGGCTTGATACAGTAGTTGAGGAGAAAATTCCATGGATTAAGTTGTAGAGGCAGTAGTGCCTCTTAACTTTAATCTATAGATCTTCAGAATAAAGGCAGGGCTCTCAGTACAGATATTTATTGTTGCCGCATTTCAAATCACACTGTATATCTGCAGCTTTATTTCTGTTTATAGAAATAAGCACCATAAACACCTTCTCTTTTTCTATATATAAGAAATGGCACATTGCTAATGGAAAAAAAAAGTTCTTTGCACTGCAAAGAACATTGCCAAAAGCTCAGACGTGATACCTGTGTTTTGTGCATGCACTGAGTATTTAGGAAGCAAAATGCCTCAGAAGGTATTGGTAATTACCAAATTCAACCTGATGAAAAGTTGTATGGAAGGTTGATTAGCCTATTAAACAGTGAGGTTTGTTCTGTTCATTATGGGTTGAGTAATAAATAAAAATTTGTTTTGCAAGGCACTTTCTCAGAAAACTCTTTATTTCTCAGTTTTATCTCCCACATTAGAAAGGATTCCATCAGGATGGATCTACATGCAATTATTTCGTATTGGACAGAAATCCCTTTTGCCCAGTCCAAACACTTTCTACAAAGCTTCCTACATTTGTTCTGATACTGCAAAAGTCCAGATGAGTGGAATCTGATTTTTTTATTCCTTTTTTGCCTGCTCTTTACTCCATTTATTCTGACTACTAGGAAGTCTTTAATAGCCTTCATACTACATGGGCAATTCAAGCTTTCCTGAAAGAATTCTTATTTAAAAAAAAAAAGAAGGACGCCCCCCCCCCCAAAAAAAAAAAAAAACCAAAAAAACCAACCAAAACTGAAGAGAGAAAAAACCTTGCAAGGTATTTGTGTTTAAAAGAAAAATGGTCCTGGACACGAAGCCCAAACATTTCACTACCTCAATTTTAAACATAGTGCACAAAGATTCAGAGAAGGAGCACTAAGATTCTAATACACCACTTCTTAAAAGATTTTCTCAACTCACTGAAAAAACTCACTAGTCTAAATCCATTTAATCTATAATACACTATCTTGGTACTACAGACTTTGTCTTTCTGCTGGCAGAGCTCTCATACCAAAGGCCTTAAAATATGTTTATGGAAATAATTTTGCTTCTAGGTTCTGAGAATCCCAAAATTGGCTAAGCACGCTCTTGGACTATTCTTCCTTAAAAACATGATGGCTATAAGCCATTCCCGTTCTGTATGACTTTAACGCCTCTACTATCCCCAGTTTTTTGTAGATGGTTGGACCATTACAACTTTTACAAGGAAGTCTCCTTTCCACTTCTGCACTGAAGCTGTGTTCTGTGGCGTATCTGCAGATGCCTAGAAAACCAGCAGTTTGTTTTAGAGAACAGACTTGCAGACTTTTTCCTTACAACTGTATTTAGGTATGATCACCTGTAAGATGAACTGAATATAAAGTTTCTTGGAATTGCATTGGTTACCTTGAGAGAGAGTTGAGCAGGTGAGCTACCTGCTGATTTCCCTATTAAAATCTTCCTTTTGCCTTCTGTCTTACGATTTCTGTTGCAGTTTCTACTTATCAGATGTACACAGTGTTGCTTTTACTAAATTTAGATAAAATGTGTTGCCACAGAGCACTTGGAACCTGTATTTTGAAGTTTGGTGAATATGCCCATTCCATAGATATTAGCAGGTTGTTAGCTTATTATGGACAAAGAACACTGGAGCAGTTGTTTTGAAGGGAGAGTATTATACAGTAATTGTATGTATTATACGTAATTATGCAGTAAACTCTTGATCATCTGTTGTTTGCTCATCAATGAGGGGATTAACCAGCACTCACTTCAGGTATTAAATAGTGCATGACAGAAAATATGTGGTCTTTGAACAAGGCCTCACTGCCTAGTGCTGTTCAAAGCTTTTCCTGCTCTTTACAGGAAATGTATCTGCAGGCTTTACAAAGTGAATGTACTAAATATGCTTGGGTAGCTTAATTTACATTTGTTTTATAATAACCTCTTTTTTTTAATCTGCATTATCCTACTCTGCCATTGCTCCATGCAGCTGAAAGCAAATGTACTTGCACTTTTGCAAGAAAATGCATATAGCTGTAGTAAGAATAAAAGAAAAAGAAAAAAAAAATCAAAACTTGATGTCTATATTCGTATAATTAGGTAGTACTTAGCATAAATTGTTTGACGTGCGCCTTGAAAGAAATAAGATACAACCCCCAAACGTGTTTTCCTCTTAATCCTGTCAGGTGTGATGCGTATATGCATCCTGCAAGCACTAGTATATTCTGAACTGGAATTTGGGATGCAAAATATTTTTAGCCTCTCTTTGGCTTGGAAAGACATGACAGGATAATACACTAATACGAATGATGATACAATGCATTTTCCAGTATTTGTGGTTTGGAGGCTTTTATCCAGCACCTAGGTGTACTAATAATACAAAATTTAAATATATTTTAATTGTATCTAATTCAAACTGCATAATCTCCTGAAGAAGTATGCAGGCATTTTTGTGTATCTACTACCTAAGGTAATTTTATGAGCAACTCTGTACACTTTTCTGCAATGACTAAGTTACCCAGGCTGCAAAAGAGGTCTCCAAGAAAAACTAAATAAGACTCCTGAATTATGTATTAAAAATTAGGCTAACAGTTATTTAAACTATTCTCATCAGTACAGAGCTAACCGCACGTACAAAATGCATAAGAACATATATTACAGGCACAAAGTCACATTCTTTTTATAGCTCACAAAACAACACAGTTCTGGCTTACAATCACTTCAACAGCTTAACTTAAAAATAGGGATTGTTTATATCTTCTAAATGGACAAGATCAAAGACAATTTTGGTAAGTGTAAATCTGAGACTGAAGAAAATTAAAGCAAGAAGGAAGGTTGGCATTATGCATTTCAAATGCCACCTACTTTATATTTTTCCAACATCTTACATGTATCCCCACATTAAAATAAACACACACACCTACACACATACTAATAAAGCTTTTCTTTTTAAATAGAAAAAAAAATTAAAGGCCCTGCCCAGCTAGAATTGCATGCATCTAGAAGCTATAGGCCCCAAACTGGCAACTGAAAGCCAAAAAAAGAATCCTTCCCCTCCAAACAGCACTACAACCACCCAAACATCACACTGCCCACATCTGATTGTCCAGTGATGAGACTGCCTTTCAGAACTCTTGCCGTTGTCTCTGAGAAAAATACGTGCACAAACAGGGCAGCTGCTTATCAACAGTTTGTTTTTTGTTGCATTTGTTTTCTTCTGCTGTTATTAAAATAAGCATAAGACCTCTTTCCTAGGATCTGAAAAGGGCTTTCAAATATCTGTAAGATCCATTCATTAACCCCCACCCACATGAAAATAATTACACAGCCATATTACTATTTTTATTTAACGTAAGGCCCTTCACCATACATTGTCCCTCCTTCCTCTCAACTGAAGGTGCACAACCAGCTAAAAATTTTGATAATATTAAAGGTGAAGTTTAGGATTGCATTAGTACTAATCACCTTAAAAGAAGGACAAAGTATCAGCAGAAAGTGGAAAGAGACAATTTACCCAGCAACAAAGATCTAAGTAAAAGAAACAAAAATGCATTGCTATTGCTCTGTCCTCTGGCAGCTGAAAAACAAAATTAATCTCTACAATAACCTTTCAAGCAGACACATGGCTTCTCCTACAGGCTTCAAACCAAAGAGCTTCCATTAAAGGATATTAAAACCCAACTCTTCATAATAAAGACTTCCTTATTTTCTTCCTTATCCTCGATTTTCCATAAAATTTATTCTGACATGGACTCTGCCACTAGGCACTCACTGCAGAATGACCTTCTTTTTTCAGTAATACGCTGTACTTGCAAATAACCACCCTTCCCATTTATGAAATCTGGGCTTCTTATTGCAGGCAACCCCTGCTGATCTTCCATTATCAGAAAAAAATATTTTTGTTGCTGAGGGACAAGGGAATAATGCATAAACATAAACCATGTTTTGTGCATTACTCTTCATTTTAGTTTTAAATAAATATAAAAAAAGACCAAAATGCACTCACCTGCTTTGTTTATATCAAGCTCTGATAACTTTAAGGCTAGTTCACTAGAGTTCCCACCCGGAGAGGACACAAGTATGTCATGTAATGCATTTCTTCTACCTGTTCTTCCTGAAGCAATAAAGTCTGCATATGTAGATTCCACATCAGTCATTGCTAACAAATATCCACATAGCAGTACCTGGATGGGAGAAAAAAAGAACAATACTTACAACACCAGAAAAACAGATGACGTTATGGAACGGGAATAGAAGAACTAGAGGATTCTCATTGTGGAGTAGATTGGCTATGCAGTAAGCAGCAAAAGAAGATGTTTCAATCTCAAAATTTGGAGAAATTAGAGAAGAAACAGAGTAGAAAGGTGTGTGGATTTTATGCAATCTGTATTCAACGGTATTTTAAACAACTTCATTTTTCATACTTCATAAAGTGCTAGTGAATACTTTATAAAAGCAATGACCTCAGCAACATAATTTCTTTATAGAGCTGTCTCTGCTTTTAATATTAGCTGCGAAGTAGGAGGTAGATAGGGGGTGGAAGAAAGTTCTTTTCTGCACGAAATGCGGAGCGTAAGGAGTAAGAAAGTGCAAACTGATAATGCTTTTGCATGCAGAACACCATGCTCATACACAGGCACAGCTGTTTTGTATATTTTCCTTTCTGTTAGTATGATTAGTCTTGGCATTGTACATAGACTTCTTCAGACTCAACTAATTTATTTTGGTGTGATAGTTGCACTAGAGTGAATGCATTACCATAAAGTCACTGAAACGAGTGGAGACATGCTAACAGAGCAAGCAGAATAGCTAAACTATAATGCAGAGGTTAGAAAGCAATGCTCTGTAAGCCAGATATAAATTCAGAACTTCTTTTCATTAGAAAATAATTATTTCTCATGCTATTCTGGAATAATGTGATGATGTGCATTAATGTAAGATCTGCTAAAGACACAGGGAAACTCTGCTGTATCTGCTATAGATCTAACCTGTTAGGATTTTTTTTCTTTTTCTTAATTTATAGAATTGTAACCAGAGACCGGGGGTGGGGGCATAAGAGCAGCATTGCACAGTTGCATACAGTGAGAAGCTTTAGCTATTATTACTAAAGTAGCTGAAATGTCACATTTGCATAGCGTACAAATCTTTTTAATCAGTTCCTATTGCAGTTGCTGGACACTGAAGAAGCCCCTGAAGTCATCACAAACACTAACAGCAGCAAAAGTTTCAGTTTTCTCTCTTTAAATAAAAAGAAAAACCTCATTTTTTATAAACAATTTTATTTTAAAAAGATACATAAAAGGCAACAGCCAACCCTTCTCCACCCTCAACTCTGAATAACTTCACAAATCCTGTCCATTCTTCATCTTCTAGTCCTCACCTCCCCAACTTCAGTCAGCTGTACGAGGGTGTACATATGATGCGTCTGAGAAGCCAAGAAAAGGGTTCTACACCGTATTTTATTTAGTCTAAATATAACTATATCAAATATCATTGCAGGACTGACTGACTTAAGAAGTTCATTGCTATCAAGCTTTGGTGTCCCATGCCAAATGCTGAATGGCTGACAAGATAATTTTACTCTTATGAATAACCACCATGAAACAGGAAACGGCTTTAAAAAAAAAAAACCCCACACCAAAAAAACCCCAACCCACAAAACCTAACAACAAACACCTAGGGAACGGAAAGAGGTCAGCATTGACTGAAAGCCTGCCTGACACACATAAAATAGTCTAGTGCCTCTCAACAAATGCTTTCACGAGCACGACAGCATGTGCATTTCTTCCCATGAAGTGCCCTCCTCTTGAAACACTGTAAGAATATTGAAGCAAATGAGAAGTCTACCATTTGGTCTTTGCCCAAGGTGCAGACATCTCAATGCCAAATATATCAACCATGTAGTAACGAAGCATATAACTTGCAAGGGTGAAGGGAAACAGTGAGGACAGTTGTGATAAGGTAAGAAAACAGCACAAGTTTTCAGACTTATCTGACCTGTTCACTGAAGAATGTCATCCAGCAAGATCAGAAGATAAAAGATTTTAAGTGAAACTTACATGAGTTACATTTGTTCATGCCTGTTATTGCAACTGGCCTGTAGAAAATGAAGTGCAAAACCTGAAAGTAATCAATGTACAGGCTTGGAGTTTGTCATTGGTGTCACACCAGTCCAAAGTCATCATAGCTATCACTCCTGCCAAGACGTTTGTTTATTTTAGCATAGAAAAAACACCAGAGAAGAACATTCTTTTGCTACTTTGGAAGCTGTGTATCAGTGCATCAGGAACAGAATAAGCAGAGAAGACTATGACTGAGATGGAACAAAGCTATAGGGCTGTAAGGCTGGCAAAATGAGCAGTGTTGTACTCCACGAGCAATTCCCCGGACTGTACAGACTGCACTCCACAGAATACTTTTCTGTAAGATTATATTCTTATTGAAACATTCCATAAAACATGGAGAGCACCGGGGGAAATCTCAAGGTTATTTAATTTTAGCTATGAAACAAGCTATAAAGCCATAGGAGAATGTGCTTGTGGAGAACTTTATTTTAAAGGTTCATTTTCTATAGGCTCAATATGGCATTACTAACAACATTCTGATCAAAAAAGAATGTTACCAAACATACATTTATTAACACTTCCAAGTTTTCCTGTCTGCGTCTTCTCCTAAATGTCAAACACCATTCTGTTTTGTATTGGCATTATCTTGAGACATGACTGCATAAATATGGAACTCAGCACTGACATCACCGGAGAGGTCCCCTTCCAATGAATGGCTCAGTGCCCAGCAGTCTGTAATTATTCACTGAACCAGTCATTAAGGAATTACCATTCACTCCAAAAAACCTTTTTTTCCTCTTCAGTCTCTGTGGAAGGAGTGGAATTTGCTAATAATTCTGTGAAACATAATTTGAATTTCCTAACTAATTGCATTAACAGATATTCCTGCGTTAAAGATTGTGGTCACAGTCCCACTAGTTCTAGTAATTATTTTTTTTTTTAAGTTGCAAAAACAATGCTACATGGTCTTGGACTGAAACAGGAAGGCTGCAAACCTCACTGCTTCTGCCAACTGAACCAGCAAACTAAAGAAAGCAGTTCTGTGAGCATAAAGACGAATGAAACCTGCTGTCACAGGGTTGGATTCCTTGGTAACTGATAAGATACTATCCCACCTGAAGTCTCCCCCAGCTGTGCTTTGTCTTTCCCCCTATGTAGAGTCACTTTGCCTGATAATGCATTAGAATTTGCAATGCAGCCCTGGGGATTTTCATATGGCATCTTTCCTTTCCTCAGCTTCTTAGTTTCATAAAACTTCTAGAAATGTGGGTATCTTAGACTTCTGTCTCTTCCCCCTCCCAACTCCCTCCTCCCAAAGCAAGTTGTGCTGAAAATTAGTTGAAAGCACTTAAAGAATTGTGGAGGATGAGGAAGGTAGATAGGCATAGTTGGTATCTTGGATTTTAGCCAGTGTAACAAGACATCTCTGTATTATTAATGAATATTCTGGATAACATATACTGCTACACCTGCAAAAGACCTACTTCTATATCCTATGCAAATGAAGAAGTTTTACAGGTAAGCATCATAAGGAGTAGAATTAGTATCCAGAGAATGCGGGAGGAGAAAAGAAGGATGACAAGAACAGTATAATTTAATAGGTACAGAAAGAATCAGTATTTGTGTTTTCAGAAAGTTCCCCGAATACTCCTTCATCTCCACAATTTCTGTGTTATATTTTCCATTTCCATGCTATATTTAACAAATCTTATCCCCCAAGTTTCTGAAGCTAACTGTCAAATTTCTACAACTGTTTTCTTTCTTCTACGTACTTCGGTTTTATTGAAAGAACTCTTAAAAAAACCCTAAAAAGTTAGCGATGGCTTTACAAATGAAATCGCAATTTGACTGCATTCCATAACCATTCAGTGAAACAAGGTGTTACACAGTGCCATTGTTCTCAAGAGTTTGGAAGTGAAAGTACAGAAATTATGTGGCATACCAGCATGAATTAAAAATCAGTGTCTATACAGTTTATGGGCTAGAAGTACTGAGGGTTGTTGAATTTAGCCTGTTTAAGGGACTAGCTACCTAATAGAAGCCCAGACACATTTAAAGTACCTTCACTAATTGGTATTTATTATTATTTTAAAAGGAAGACAGAATAAGGAGCTGCACTTGACACATGGCTTGTCTATGGGATTTGGCATATGTTACTGGCTAGCACAGGAGAGCTGCCATTTTCTTGGCAAACCTGCAGTGTAAGACTAAGAGGTACAATTCTTCAACATTTACTCCCCCTCTTTCTCCATATATGCTTAATGATGGCATTGAATAAGGGATTTTCACATAAAACTCTCCCAGGCTTTGGCTGCTAAATGTTGTATCACGATCAGCACATTATTTAAATATAATTATCTATATTCAGCTTTCATAAGAGAACAAAAAAAAAAAGAGCAAGAACTTGTCATTTAATAGCACGTCTGCTTTAGAGAAGGTGTATAATTATGCTTTTAAAATAAATTTTGGTTCCAAATCTAGCCTTAGCTTAGAGACAGGGCTCTTTCCAGTGAGGAGATAGGAATCTAGGTACAGGTTGCTGTGGAACAGAGCTATCTCCTGCATGATCTGCTATGTTGAAAGCAGAAACAGAGCAACAATTTAACAAAAGTGTACTTCCACAAGAGACTGTATCTATTGTGCTATACAACAGTATTGCTTTTGGACAGACAAATGAGCAAGAAAATAGTATTAACTCTTGAAAGTCAATTAAAGGAAATATAAACGTCCATACCAGCTAGCGACAGTGTTTTAATCTGCGCTTTGAAAATCCCTTATGTAGTTTTGTCTGTCTGATGTTTCTGAAGTGACCACCTCTATAAAATAGTAATGTAGAACAGGTGACTTACCTTTTTGACAGTTAACATATTTTTACCGTGAACATAGTATACGTAGTACTCCTAGTAATAATAAGATCTTAATGGAAATCAGTGGGCAATTCAACTGGTTAAACAATGAAACAGAACAAAAGATGACCACCTGAGATTTTTTTTTAACCAGAAAAAAATTAAGAAGCTGTTTTAAATCTGCATAAAAAAGCACTATGAAGTTGGATATCCTTCAGCTTATAACCTATACAAAGAGATTATTCACTAACACAGTTAATAGCTTTTTCTTCT